AAGAAGAAGAAGAAGAAGAAGAAGAAGAAGAAGAAGAAGAAGAAGAAGAAGAAGAAGAAGAAGAAGAAGAAGAAGAAGAAGAAGAAGAAGAAGAAGAACCTGGAGCCAATTTAGAGCATTTACTCTGCAGAAGAGAAAACTGAGCAGAGATACGATAGCACTCTTCAATATTTAGCGTTATTTTAAATTACAGCATTCCTTCCTTTCCTTTGAACTAAAAAACGTATGATGGATTAAGAGCAGCAAAGCTACCTAACGTGGAAATGCATTTCGAAATATTGACATGCTAAAAGCAAGAAGGGAAACCTTCGCTTTCTTACATTTACCTTCTTCTGATTGGCCAGAGCTGCCAGCCGTGATCGCCTGGACTTCTCTGTCACATCGGCCCTTGAGACTCAGATCTGCGGCAACTATTCACGCCCCCCACGTGGGGGCGCTGTCCTCTGCTCCGCGACCGCTTAAGCTCCGGAAGACGGCGCTCCTCTTGCCTCTGTAGCAGGCAAGAATTGTAGAATTTCTCTGTCCCGCTCGTACGGCAGGAAGAGGCGGAGATTGAGGGGAGGGAGCCACGTTTGAATAACAAGCCTCCCTATTAGTGGTAACTCTTGAGCTTACCCAATAGGAGAATCCCTTGCTTGAATGTGGGTCGTCTAAAAGCGCCATCTTACTTCTTGTTCAGAGTGCTGAGCTGTACGTTCCCGGTCCGAGTGAGAGGGACCCAGCTATGCCGCTTTATCAGACCTGGGAAGAGTTCACTCGCGCAGCGGAGAAACTCTACTTGTCCGACCCTATGAAGGTACTTGGGCATGGAGGTGATTTGAAGCGTGGAGGGTCGGTGGAGGAGAAGTCGGCGAGAATTCGCTCAAAAATTGAGCAGAAGGAAGAGGGGTTACTGGGTGTTCGAGTCACTGGACTTGCTTGGGTTAGGGGATGGCGGTATTTATTATCATTTTAGTCACTAAAACAGTTTTCCAACTCTGGTGGTGCCGAAGTAGTAATAATTATGTTGGCAACCATAGAAAAGCTATAATCTCGCTCTGAGTAGAAAGGCATTAACCAAAAGTTTTGATTTATTTGTTTTATTTATTTATTTATTGTCATGAATTTATTTGTGACAGTTGAATGTATTGCAAATCTACGGATCTCACTTTATCATGTTTCCTGGCTGGAGTAAATTTGGAAATAACTCTTCTGGTAGCGTTATAGTAAATAGGTTTCAGTGATAGGAAGTCTTCCGAACTTCTAGTGTTTGGGGCATTTGAATATCAATATTTCACTATTGAATTAACATACCTTCTTTGGTAGTGGCTGTTGCAATGAGTTGTACAAAACCTGGACAATCAGCTCCTGTATGCTTATGCAGGATTGTGCAAAGGAGATACATTGGTTTTGTTCATTTCAAGTGTGCCTTGGTTGGGAGCTCTCATCAGATGAAAAAGGACTAAAGGTTGAAATGCTGTGTGTAACTGGCATTAAGGCAGTTTTGTAAATAACTAGACTTTTTTAACTTGTGAAAGTGTATCTATATTGATGCTATTTTATTTTTTTTATAAAATGATTTTTTGTGTCATTTCAGGTCCGAGTTGTACTCAAGTACCGACATTGTGATGGGAATCTGTGTATTAAAGTAACAGATGATGTTGTTGTAAGTAAAACTTAGGTGATGTGATTTACAATTTTAAATTCTCAGAGTCCAAACCATATTTTCAATATTGTTTTAGCAGGAAAATTGGTTGATGTATTAGCTGATTTACTTAATACTTCTCAAAGAAGCAGTTGTGTAAACCTAGAGGCATTCAAATCATTTTTATAAGATGTGGTATTTTTAGAGTTAATGCTTTGGCATTTTTAAATTCTAAAACAGTACCTCAGAATAAATATGAATTTTTAGAATCCTAATGTCCAGAGTTATGTATGGTGGGCAGCCATACAAATCTTTTAAATAAGTACATAAATAAAAAAGCTTTTACCTACTGTTTTAATAAAAGGCTCTGTCTTAGGCCCAGTACTGTTCAACAGCTTCATAAACCGATTTAGATGAGGAGGTAGAAGGGAAACTCATCAAATTTGCAGACAACACCAAGCTGGTGAGAATAGCCAACACCCCAGAAGACATTAGCTGGATTTTCACAGACTTGAATACTGGGCCCTATCCAACAAAATGAAATTCAGTGGTGAGAAAAGTAAGATTCTACACTTAGGCAATAAAAGCCAAATGTCAGGTATCAAATAGGTGGTAACTGGCTCAACGGTAGTAACTGTGAGAGGAATTTTGCAGTCCTAGTGAACAATTTCTTAAATATGAACCAGCAGTGTGCTTCAGCCAACAAAAAGGCTAACATATAAAAAAGATGTTGAGATTCTAGAAAGAGTCCAGAGAAGCGCAACAAAGATGAATAGGAAATTGGAGTCTAAAATATGACGAACAGTTGCGGGAATTGGGTATGTCCAGTTTAATTAAAAAGGACTAGGAGTGACATAGCAGTATCCCAATATTTAAGAGGCTGCCACAAAAAAGAGGGAGTTAATCTAATTCCCCAAAGCACTTGAAGACACAACAAGAAGCAGTGGATGGAAATTAATCAAGGAGAAAGCTTATTTCGCTTTAGAAATAAGGAGAAATTTCCTAACAGAACAATCAGTCAGTGGAATGACTTGCCTTCAGAAGCGGTGGGTGCTCCATTGCTGGAGGTTTTTAAGAAGAGATTGAACATTAGAGTTGTCTGAAATGATATAGGTTCTCCGGCTTGAGAAGTGGTTGGACTAGAGCAGTGATGGCTAACCTTTTTGTCGAGGCGTGCCAAAAACGTGGGGAGCCTGGGGGGATCACACAATGCGGACCCACATCTATAATGCAATGCCCTCCCCTGCACATGCACATACAACCCAACCCCTCGTTGCATGTGTGCTTGCCTTACTGAAGCCTCCGGACTTCCAGGAGGTGTGTTGGGTCGTTTATTGCCCTCTTGAAGCCTGGGGAGGGTGAAAAACAGCCCAACACGCAAGCCAGAAGTTGTGGGACGGATTTCCGGGTTGCCCTTTGGGCCATTTTTCTCCCTCCAAAGCCTCTGGAGGGCGAAAAATGGCCAAAAATCAGCTTGCCAGCGTGCACATACACACACGAGCTGACAGAGCAACATCTTGCATGCTCTCAGAAATGGCTCCACATGCAACCTGTGGCAGTTCTGTTACTTGTTAAGGAAGTGCAACCTTTGTATATATTTTATGTATATATATATATATATATATATAACTCTTGGGAGCGTTAGTTTTTTAGATATCCTGATTAGAAGTAGCTGATTCTGCTTTAACTTTGCACTAAAGAACGATTTTTAATTAGATAGTCCTCAACTTACGACTGCAACTGAGCCCAACATTTCTGTTGCTAAGTTAAACATTAAGTTTTGCCCCATTTTATGACCTTTCTTGCCATAGTAGTTAAGTGAACCACTGCAGTTAAAATAGTAACACAGTTGTTAAGTGAATCTATCTTTCCCAGTGATTTTGCTTGTCAGAAGTTCGCAAAAGGGATCACATAACTAAAAAAAATAATTTGGTCAATTGCACTTTCTTTTTATATATTTTGTCCTCATAATCGCTGCTTCTCCTTTGTTAGGTCTTTCTGTCATAACAGCTTAATTTGTATTCTAAAACTACATTGTAACAGCTGTTTTATGTCCTCATGATATGAGGATAAAGAGCAAAGTATGTGTTTTAGACTTTTAAAAACCATTTTGCCATCAAATCAATGTTATCTCTGGGTGATCACATGGATAGACCTCTCTTCTAATCTGACTCCAACCTGGCCCTTCAGGTCTCCTAACAGTGCACCTATTGCTGTAGTAATCAAGGGCACTCACCTTGCTCTTGGTTATCTTTTCCCCCCTTTTTTTCTTTCTCAATGTTACGGACATCTGAATAGAGTACAGTCTGCAGAATGTATCCAAAATATGATTACTTGAACCATGTGTTCAAATGTCATTTGTGCCTTGTGCCATAAGAATTATGATCATGGCATCTGAATATCTTTTTCAAGATTGTCATAACCACTGTACCAAATTCTCTGTTGACAGCTGGTCCTTTTATTGTTGATGATTGATTCTGAAATGCATTAGTTATCCACCAGATCACTGTCTTTGTTGTCAATTCTGATTGTTCTCCCTGTTATCATTTGTTTGGTCTTTATATTTATTTGTAGGGCCATTTTTTCATTGTCATCATTGACTTGCACTACTAGAACTTTGAGACCACTTACCTCTATCAGACTAATGACATCAGCATGAGTGTAGTGCAGGTTGTGATATTTCTTCTTATAATTTTAAATGCTCATCTTCTTCCAGTCCAGCCTTATTCAATATATTTTCCACATGTAGGTTGAATAAATAAGGGAGACTATATAGTCTTGTCTCATTCCTTTGCAACTGTAAAATATGTTTTTATTATGTTCTGTGTAGACTGCAGCTTTCCAACCTTTGTCATATGGGCTTTGTACGAAGAAGTTGAGATGTTTTGGGATTCTCATTTTCCTAAGGACATTCCATAACGTGCTTGACATAATTGAAGGCCTTTCTATAATCAGTAAAGCATATATTGACTTCTTTTTGGTATTATTTGGCTTTTTCAATTAACCAGGGTGCATCAGAAATTATACCTATTCTTCCTGTCTATTGTTTTTTTCTAAAACCAGCTTCATCATTCCACATTTCCAGGGCTATAATCTTCAGAGAAAGTTAGTTTGCTAACATGTGATAATTTCCACATTCTGTTAAGTCTTTTTTAATTGTGGTATGTAGACTAAGCTCCAATAGGGTTGACCACACTGTCAGTCTCCAGATTTGTTGGTATAGTTGAATTAGAACTGATTTGTTTTCTGTTACTTATTACATTTGTGTAGATATTCCATCAATATCTGCAGCCTTCTCAATTAGTAATGACCAGTGTGCTCATCTAATTGCATTTGATTGTACTAAGAATTTGTGTGAATTCTTCTTAAGGAGTATCTTCATCTCTTGGTTGTCTCAAATATGTACAGAATTTCAGTGCTGTATAGAGTAGTCCCCAAATTGACAGTTGTAACTTGAGCTTGGCAATTAGAGTTATAAATTGTGACTGTCATAAAGTAGGTCACTACGTGACCAGAGCCGATTCTACAATTTTTTTCACGGTGGCTGTTATAGAAACTGCAGTCATTAAGCAAATGCTGCAATTGTTCATTGTTTGCTATGGACCAGTTTTGGCTGGAAACAGGAAGTAAATACTGGTTTCCAGCAAAACCGTTGTAAATCGTAATCATATGACCACTGGGCATTGCAAACGTCTGTAAATATGGACTGCTTGCTGAATGCTCAAAATGTGATCGGGTGGGAAGGGGAGATGATGTTGGAACTGTATCATAAATAGCTTTTGAGAGGAGATCCATTGAAACTTCAAATGGTTGTTAAGTGATCAGTTGTAAATCAAGGACTTCCTGTATTCCTTCTGTATATGTTTGACTTCTTTGAGTCTGTTATTACGCATCTATTGATAGCCTTGAGCAGATCAGTGTGAGATTGGAATCTCCTGAGTTTGCGGAACTTTTGGAAGACTTTTCTTGTTTATCACATTACTATCTTTATAGATGTCATTTGTAGTATGGTTTCTTGTTTTTTTAAAACAACGGTTCTCTGAAATTGTTTGTTAAATATGTTCTTAAGATCTTTGATATTCTTGGCTTTAACTTCAGTTCTTGGCAATTTCTCTTATCTATTGTGATATCCATTTTGATTTCTTCTGTTTCTTGGTTCTTGGTAATTTATTTTCATATTAACTTATTTATTTCATTTTGCTTATCATATTTAAGATCCATTTCCATCACAGAGGGATTCTGGGCAGTATACAATAAGATTTAATTCCACAGTTCCTCTTGAGGTTCAGAGTTTTAAAATGATTCCTGATGTTCTCCTTGAAATGGTGGATATGTTTTTAAGACCATAATATAGAAAGTGGTTGGCTTTATTCATCTGGCATTTTGGATGCAATCAAACCTGAGAGCTTATCACACAGCACTGGATCATCAATCACTTATTATTATTTATCCAGGTGGTTTTTATTTTTGACAAAATACAGGAGTGTTTTTATCATTGCTTTTTCCAGCATAGTATTGAAATGGTGCTTTTGCTAAACTGTTCTTATACTTCCAGCATCTTCCTACATTGCTGTAACTGTTGCCCTAAAATGTGCCTCTTTTGGAAGGGGGGGGGGGAATGGAAGCTCTTAATGTCACAGATGACCCTGCTGGGAAAATGTAGTTTTGACATAATCCTGGCATTCTTTGTGTATCCCTCCCAGAAACATTCCCCCACTGCCACACTGAAGCAGCATAGCAGGCGTGTATGTGTGAAATTATGTTCAGAGAAATCCTGATGAGTCTTTTCCCTATGCTTTTTTTTCTTTCAGTGTCTACTCTATAGGACAGATCAGGCTCAAGATGTAAAGAAAATTGAGAAATTCCACAGTCAATTAATGCGACTGATGGTAGCCAAAGAATCCCGCAGTGTTGCCATGGAAACAGACTGAATATGTGGAAATAAAATGAATGTTCCAGTCACGTATCGCGGGAGGAATGTATCTATTGGATTTGGGCATATTTGGAATGGACACACGATGGCATCAAGTGGACTATTAAAATTGAGTTTTGTAAGGATTTGGGGGCTCCACTTCAGAGTGGCTTGGTAGACTATATGCTTTCATTGAAAGCTTCTATTTATTTTTCTTTCAATTTGAGTGAGGAAATATATATATGTTCTTTTCTGGAATTCTTAAAGGTTAAAGTATACTCAGCCAGATTTATAACTTCCTTTCTTAAATCTTTAGGACATTGCCTAAAGATTTCTCTGATGGGTTGAAGAATGCTGTTATATAGACGGGGGTGGGGGGTGGGGTTGTGGAATTTTATGTTCTGTTAAATTAGCGATGCATAATCTTTATATATTGATGTATTATTTAGTTGGCAAATAACATCTGATAAAATGTTCTACTGGAAAAACAAGGATGCTTGTGAATCAATTCATGTGTCTAGATTTAAAGATTCAGAACTGATTCTTGCTTCATAACCATATAAACTGAAAAAGATGTTCTAATTGTTAACAGACGAATGCTAAAAACAGCTATTTCTGTACTGTATTTAAGATTGCTGGCAAAGCCACCTTCGGTGAGATGGGCAGCATACAAGTTTGATGAATAAATAATTCAAACTGGCATTGATTTTGAATGATAGAAAGGAGTAAAGATGTGCAGAACATTTGATCTTCAACTGTTCCAGATGTGAAATTTCAGGAGTCATCACGCTTCTAGTACAAAACTGAAACTTGCAGTGTTTGAAACACCTGTTTCACACTTGAATGAGACATTTTGCAAAATATCATGTTAAAATGGTTTGAAACCAAATGTTTACTTGTAGAAACACCTGAGGCATATGAATAAAATTGTATGTAGAACTTTTAAATAACTGCTACTGAAACCAGCCTTAAAGTGTCTTATAATTTCTTTTCATATGAAGTTCTCACTTTCAAATGTTAAATTAAGTAGTGATAGAAAGCTTCACAATCACCTGAAGTATAAAATGGTAGGCATAGCTTGCCAATAATAAAATAAAATTCATTTTAGATTGTTTTTCTGAAACTAGGAAATGTTCACTAAGAAAATAATGCTTAAATGTTTTATTGAATTATCAGCTTCTCTAGGGAATTGCAATGATCAGAGATGTGTAAAGCAGATTGTTCCAGGGATGAAATGTTTTAGGAAATCTGGAATTTTTTAAAATCTGAATTATATCAATCCAGCCTTCTTTGTGGTCATCGGACTTGCATGTGTGCTACAACCCAGAAGCTTAGCTTTTCCAGAGTACGGCCCTGAGGAGCGCGCAGGCGCACATGTGCAGCATTTCCATGCAACCTTTTTGGGACACGGTGCAGAAAAAGTTTGCCATCAGGGATCTATGGTGTCCCAGTATTTTATTTCTCTGTGACTTCCAATTGCAAACAAAACCTACAACACAAGTGCAATACCAACCTCTTCCTACTCAGGATCCCAAAAACTAATGCTGAGAGAATTGCTGCTTTCAGTACACAGAAGGAAGTTATATAAAGATACCAAAACGAACACTTCTCATAACTATACCAGACATGTCAAGCACACCCACAGCTGGATCCCCCCTGCGCAGGCCATGCCTATCCCAGCCCTGTAAGGGCAAAAAAATCCCAATATGTCACAATAAGGCCCGCAATGCAATCAGGTTTGAAACCCCTGCTTCATACCATTTGTTTAATTACTTTGAAGACTATCATTGTATGGGGCAGGGCTTAGTTTATTATATGAAGGTTGATCATGTTATAAGAAACTATTTCTCCCTCTACTTGAGCTAGTTGGCTGTGAAATCAATTTTGTAATTTCAGGACATGTAAGTAAGTGAGCCCCTGTGGTGTTTTCTTTAATAGATGCTGTTACAATCTTATGAAGAAATATAATCTAGAAAAGCACTCTTCATACTTGAACTAATAAACTGCCCTTTAGAAACTAAATTAAAATTGGAAAATGAACAGGGGTATATTAGTTTCAATTACCTTTTCCACTTGGAAAAAAAAATCTCATAGCTTCACAGCTGTTAAAAGTATTTCTTTACCATATTTTTCAGAGTATAAGACACACCTTAGATTTTGGGGAGGAAAATAAAAAAATTCTGCCTACCAGCATCCATGGTATTCATAGCATCCTATCTGTGTGAGAAAGTTGAGGGCTGTTTGGAAACACAGTATTTGCTGTGTGAGCAACAAAGAAGGAGACAGCAAGGAGCCAGGGCATGCCTTGTTCTGTACTACTGTAAAGGTGCATGCTGTGCTGATATCTAAAAGTTAAAGTGAAACTTCTCTGTTGAACTACCATATTGGAAAACCTGCTTTTGATATTGTATGTTTACTTAATGTGTTCTATATAAAGAGAAGTTATTGAATCCTGCTTAATCAATTACTTGTGTGTGCTTTCTGAATGTGATTGCTGCTGCAAACTCTGACACATCCTTGCAGCAAATAGCAAACAACCATGTCAGATTCAGCACATTATTGCAGCCTGATTCAGGGTGAGCATCTTATTGGTGGGTGGATCGGCCTCCCAGAATACCCCCAATCAGCTATTCCAGGCTGCAGGGATTGCCACAGACCATCGCCTCCTGTGCCCCGCGTTTTGGCTACATTTGGTGTATAAGACACCCAAATTTTCACCCTCTTTTAGGGGGGGGTAGCGTGTCTTATACTCTGAAAAATATGGTGGCTTGTTTTAGTGTTTAGATACTGCACTAATTTTAAAAACTTCCAGTAAGTGGAACCTACAGTATGTAATGCTTGTAATCGGTATCACCCATGCTATCTCCCAGAACACTCAATTCACCTTTATTTCCTCCCTTGCCTGTCAGTCGGCATTCCGTGCCCGCTCAGGATGCTTAAAAAATCCTGGAGTGTTCTTAAGAGCAATGTTCCTCAACTTTAAGGTAAGTGGACATCAACTTCC